CCCTGCCCCTTCCCCCCTCCTCCTCGGTTATCCTTCTTCACCACCGTTTTCTTCCACTTCATTCGGGCTCGTCTTCGTAGCCTTACTTTCCCTCGGTCAAGTCGAAGACCTCTCCCCACCTCTCGACGTAAAACTCACCAGCGAGGCTTGAACCGCGCCCGAAAAATCGACACGATGGCAGCGGACAGCATCCCGCCTCCCCTGAGCCAAGGGGTCGGGTACGGCGTGGTGCTTGGCTTCGGCTTTGCATTCGCGCTCGTCATGCTCTACATCACGCGTCTCCTGTGGCGCTTCAACGGCGAAAATAACGCCCACTTTGAGACCTACGCCACCGCCGGCCGCAAAATCGGCACCGGTCTCACCGCCACCGCCGTCTTCTCCTCCTGGGCATGGTCCACCGCCCTCCTCTCCTCTTCTCTAGTCACCTTCCTGTATGGCGTAGCAGGTGCCTGGTGGTTTGCAGGCGGCTGTCTAGTGCAAATCTCTGCGTTTGCGCTGCTTGCGATTCAGAGTAAGCTCAAGACGCCACATGCGCATACGGTGCTCGAGATCGTGCGCGTGCGGTACGGCACGGTGGCGCACTGGGTGTACATGTTCTTCTGCCTTGCGAACAACACGATTGCGGTGGCCAACATGCTTCTAGGAGCGTCTGCGACCGTTTCGGCGCTGACGGGGATGCACATCATTGCATCGACGTTCCTGCTCCCCGTCGGAGTGTGCCTGTACACGATCAGTGGCGGGTTGAAGGCGACGTTCCTGACCGACTGGATGCACTCGGTGGCGCTGCTGATCATCGTGCTCTTCCTGACGCTCAAGACGATCACCAACGATGCGGTGCAGTCCCCCGGACACCTGTGGCAGCTTGTCAAGGAGGCGAATGTGGCCAATCCCATCGCGGGAAATTATAACGGCAGCATCTTGACCATGACGAGTAAAGGTGCGGTGGAGTTCGGCATTCTGCATACGCTCGGTAATGCCGGACTCGTGGCGTTGGATTCGAGCTACTGGCAGAAGGCGTACTCGGCCGATGTGGCTGCAGCTGTGCCCGGGTACGTTCTGGGCGGCGTGCTGTACTTTGGGTTGCCGTGGTGTTTGGGTACGGTGATGGGGTTGGCCGGTCTGTCGCTGCAGACCAATCCCATCTGGCCGGCTTTTGGACGCAAGCTCAGCACCACCGAGATGAACGCCGGACTTCCACTCGCCTACACGGCGCTGGCTGTGGCAGGAAAGGGCGGTGCAGTGGCCGTGGTGATTCTCATCTTTATGGCGGTCACGTCGACGACTTCGGCACAGCTCATTGCGGTGTCGTCGATCGTTTCGTCGGACGTGTACCATACATATGTCCGACCCAATGCGACTGACAGGCAGGTGATCCGCGTCAGCCATGCTGCTTGCATTGGCTTTGCCATCTTCGCATCCGCCTTCTCGACCATGCTCTACTACATCGGTATCAGCCTCACGTGGACGCTCTACTTCCTGGGTCTCATCACGTGCCCGGCCATGGTGACGCTACCCTTGACGGTGCTGTGGAAGAAACAGACGTGGTGGGCTGCCGTCATCTCGCCAATCGTCGGCATGATCGCAGGCATAGCAACCTGGCTAGCTACCGCGCAGGCATACGGGAACGGCGTTCTCAACGTCACCACCACGGGAGAGCTGTTGCCGTGCATGTGGGGAACCATCGTCGCCGCGGTTGTACCTGCAGTCCTATCGCCGCTCATTTCGTGGATCCGCCCCGAACCCGATTTCAACTGGGAGAGGTTTAGCGAGATCCGACTGATCCAGGACGACTCGTCGATCAACAATTCCCAATCTTCCATCCCGCAGGAGAAGGAGATTGCCACACCCATCCACTCGGACTCGGGCGCTTTTACCCATGCAGAGAGGAGGTACATGCAGCACCAGAGTAAGATCGCCGCTTGGACGGCACTGGGCCTGTTTGTGGGCGTCTGGTTGCTTTGGCCCTTCATCATGTACGCCGCAAAGTACGAGTTTTCGCGCGAGTTCTTTACCGGATGGGTCGTTGTGGCGATCATCTGGGCCTTTGCCGCACTGCTCATCTTCACGTTCCTGCCGCTCTGGGAGGGCCGCACACTCATCGCTCGCATCGTCAAGGGCGTCCTCACCAAGCAAAAGGGGCCGGAAAACAAGCGTCCGGCCGAAAAAGCTGCGTCCGCTTCGACCACGCCCGACGCCATCTCCCCACTCTAGACTCCATCCCTCCCTCTCTCGCGTTGCATTCTAGACTCGCTCTTGACTCGCTCTTGGAATGCCGTCCATGCTACTTCCTCGCACTCTGGCCTGCACTTCAGCCTCACACGCTCTCGCCCAGGTCCCACATTGCTTTATGATGCCGGGTGAATAAATCATTGGCACTTCTACGTCTCCACACCCGACTCGGGCTGGTAGAGCGAGTCGAGGGCGACCATCCAGGCGTGCATGTCCTTGTCGCTGGGCGCCTGGAGGAAGTACGAGTTGCTGCTGGTGTACACGCCAAACACGTGTTGGCGGCCGAGCATGCGCTCGATGTTGGCGTCGTGCTCGACGCGCACGCTGGCGACATGCACCGCCATCAGCTCGTCCGTCTCGGCGCTGCTGGCGTAGATGTAGAGGAACGGCCGGCGCAGCGCGAACCACCGCCGTGTCCACTGGTCCGTAAACGCCTCCACCGGCATCTCGAGCCAGCCGCGCTTGGTCGCATTGTCGCTGCGCGCCACCAGCGTCACCTGGGCAGTCAGCTTGGGCTTTTCCGCTTCGTCCACGCGCAAGGTCTCGATGCCCAGCCCCGCCGTGTCTTCGCGCTCAAACATGCCCACCAGCTGCGCGGCCCCGGACGGCGCACCATCGCCGTTCGACGACGGCTGTTCCGCGATCACGACCTGCATCTTGGCATCGCGCACCGCACGCTGCCACAGCGCAAGCGTGCGTTCCAGCAGCTCCACCTTGTCCGCCTCAGCGCCCGAGGGGGACATGCTGAGCGCGAGCGGCGGATGCGCACGCAGCAGCGCACGCACACCTTCCACCTCGGCACGACGCTCCTCGGCCCGCATCAGCCGCGCATGGTCGTGCACCAGACTCGTCCCGCGCGCCTTCCATCCGCGCAGCGCCTCCTGTCCGCGCACGTACTTGTTGGCCGTATCGAGCCGCCACAGCTCCGCCGTCTTCTTGATCATGGGCGGCACGAGCTTCACGCTGAAGATCGCACTCGTCTTGGTGAGTGTCCTCGCGCCGCTGGTGGCGGACTCGATGAGGCTCATCAGCCTGCCTGGCGGCTTGGCGTCGCGGCTGTTGATCGACACGGCGACGTCCATCGAGAAGGCCACGGGTGCGGCGCAGCGCTCGATCTCGATCTCGAAGGCCAGGCGCGCCAGCACGCGATGTCCACTGGCGGTGGTGCGGTTGAGATGCAGGCTGTCGTGCACGCTGCTGTCCCACCACGCCCATAGGCCGAGCTCGCTGGTGCCGTTGGCGGGGAACTCGAGCGTCTGTTGCTTGGCCGGCACCTTGAGCTGCACCGTGTCCGATGCCTTGCCGCCATGCACGCGCCCGCGCGCATCCAGCAGCCGCACATCGCCCAGCTCCAGCTTGGTCACCTTGCTCCACAGCAGCTGCCGGCCCGAGTCGTGCGTAAGATGCAGGACCAGCTTGCGCTGCAGACCCTGGCGAAGGAAGAACGAGCCTGGATCGAGAGCCGACTGCGCGCGCACGGGGACGGGCATGTACTCGCCCGACGCGTCCAATTCGCAGATCTGCACCGAAGCTAGAATGTGGTGGCGCTCCTCGCCGCGCATCTCGTTCTCCGACAGCCGCTCCTTCATCGTATTCGACATGGTGGTGCGGCGTCCCGTACCTCCTCCACGGATCGATCCCGAGTCGCCATTGCTGAGCGAGTGCAGAGGCGCAAAGTTGACGGCTCGGTCGTCGATGCTCTCGCGCTCGCTGTCGTGCTGTTCGAGCGCAACGAGATACTGCGGCTTGAGCTTGGCGTACAGTTCGATGGGCGCAAAGCCGGTGCGCAGCCAGTGCATCGACTCGGCGGTGAGCACAAACGAGAGCGTCCTGCGCAGGCGCACCTCGGCGAGGCTCTCTTCGCTCGCGAGATCGACGGGCACCGAGGTGTAAGACTCGTCCTTGCCCAGCTCGTTGCCCGCGAACGAGCTGAGCTTGACCTGCAGATGCACGCCGGCAAACTCGTCGCGCGAGAGGCCCGAGACCGAGTCGACAAGCACCTGGAAGCCGAACTTCTGGCCCACAGGCAGGTCGGGCCCGCCGTTGATGTGCGTCGACGACGGCGTGGGCGAGCTGGGCCCGCGCGACGAAGCGCCGCTGGGAGCCGCCAAGCTCGCTGCGGCAGCCAACGAGCTGCGGCCGTTGGCGGGCACGGGCGCGATGCTGACAAACTTGAGCGAGACGCTGCACGAACCGATCTGGCGGCCCGTGTGGCGATCGTGCAGCGGCAGCCTGTACTTGGTAGAGATCTGGCGCGAGAGCGGGCTGAGCGGGACGAGCGTGCTTGCGACAAAGGCGTACATCGGCGTCGGCGACTCGTAGAACGGGTCGGACCAGTTGAAGTGCTGCGAGTACTCGGGCTTGTCCACAAACGTATACAGGTTGCGCATCTTCTGGAGGCGCTGCTCGAACTTGGGCATGGACCAGACGTAGCATGTCTGGTGGACGTAGTCGAGCACCTTGATGCCCATGCACGGCTTGGCGCACGCGGCAAGGTCCGGATCGGCCACGTCGTCGAACTCGGTGAGGCCGGCGATGGCCTCGACGCCCGACGTCGGGACGGCGAGAGGAAAATCATCGACTACAGTGAACTGGTAGGTGGCGCGCTTGCCAAGTTCCTTGCTGATCACGTTGGCCTCCTTGACGAGCACGGCCTTGGACAGGGCGTCCTCGGCCATGGAGACGGTGGTGTGGCCCTTCCACTTTGCGAGTACGTTGCGCAACAGCGCCTTGTGCGTGTCGCTGTATTCGTTTGGACCATCAGCGAGGCGCGGCGATCCGACCCTGAGCTTCTCCTCGTACTCGCGCACCTTTGCACGCAGCGACTCGGTCTCGCGATGACGCGCCGCTGCTGCTGCCTCGACCGACGGCGACGCGGCGGCGTTGAAGTACGGCGAGTCCTTCATGGGTGTGGCGGGCCCCAGGCGCATGGAGCCCATCTCGCTGCCAGCCTGGCTCCAGGGATCGATGCTGGTGTCGTCTGTCATGGCGCCGAGCGAGTAGGGGCGGACGACCGAGCTGGCCGACTCGCTGGCGTTGTCGTCGAACAGACTCGCCCTGCTCTCGGGTCTGCCGAGCGCGCCGCCCATCGACTTTTTGGAGCGAGCGCGCGAGATGTCCTCAAAGAGCTTCTCGAGGTCCTCCTCGTTGAGATTGTCAAAGTTGACGTTCTGGCCGTTGAGCTTTGCGAGCGCGTATTCCCTGCGGGCGTAGGTCCAATCGACGTCGCCGGACGCTGGAGAGTCGGGACGGGTGGCCGGAGTGTCGCCATCGAGCAGCGTCTCGTTCTGGGCCTCGCCGGTGGAGAGGGCGAGGGTGGAGCGGACGCGGTCCCTTGCTTTTCTGACTTCCTCTGGGTGATTGAAGCGGAAGACGTGGAAATCGCCGAGGATGACGCGGTATCCGGATCGAAGACGCTTCGGCTCTTGGGGCGCGAGACGCTTTCCGTTGACCATGGTCATGCTGTCGGGCATGGCGGTGACGGTGACGATGCCGTCGGTGTGGTCAAAGGTGCAGTGGTTTGCGAGAATCTTTGTGCCGCTGAGCTTGATGTGGACGTCTGCGCCGCTCTCGAGGTTGCCGACGAGCGTGTGGCCGGGCTTGATCTGGTAGATGAGGCACTCGGACATGAGCGGGTCCTCGTTGAGGTTGACGAGGTGGGGCAGCTTCTTGGGCGTGTGTACGCCGACGTTGCCCTTGTCGACCGAGATGCCGAGCTCCTCGAGCGCCTTTTCGCGCTCCTTCTGGATGGCGTGCGTCTTTGCGAGCTTTTCCTCCCAGCTCTCGTTGAGGCTGCTCATGATCTTCTCGCTCTGCTCGAGCTGCTCCTGGAGTTCGGCCTTGGTGACGGTCTTGATCTCGCCGGACTTGGTCTGGTAGCGGACGACCTGCTTTTCGGGGGGTATTGACGGATCCCAGCTGCCCTCGCCCTCGATGCCGCCGCCGCCGGCGACGCGGGTGCGGAGCATCTCGAGTTCCTCCTTGAGCTCGCGGATGAGTTTGGCGTTTGGGTCCTCGTTTACGACGGCCTTGTTCTTGATCTTCTTTGCCTGGTCGGCGTAGCGGAGCGTGCTGAGCGTCTCCTCGTAGTCTGCGGGGGAGATGGCGGCGATCATGGCGGTCTTGGAGTTGCCGCCGAGGCTGTCCTTGAGGAGCCAGGTCAGGACCGAGTCACGGTAGGGCACGAAGCTGTCGAGTGCAGCTGCAGCCTTTGACTTTTTGGCGCCGGGCTTTGCGGGTTCTGCGGAGCTGGCGATGGCGAGTGCGGCGATGACCTTGCCGAGGGTGGTGAGGGAGCGGTTGATGTTGGCGCCCTCCTTGAGACGTGCGCCGGTGGCGCCTGTGGAGTTGGCGCGCTCGGAGCCGGCGAGATCGACGAGCGAGATGCGCGACACCTTTTCGGCCTCGAGGTTTGTGTCTGGATCGAAGCGTTTCTGGGTGAGGACGAGGGTGAAGACGGCGTGGGAGCGGGAGCTGGTCTCGTTCATGTTGGTGGCGGCGACGGTTCTTGCCTTGTTGCCTTCGTCCATGAGGTTTTCGATGTCGCGGAAGCTGCCGACAACGAGTTTGCTGAGGTCCTCGACGTAAGGGCCCAGGCTCGGATGTTCGCGCACCTTGAGGTTGCCCTTGGTCTTTGGATTGAGGAGGTCGCGCACCTTTTCGTTGTAGATTTCGATGTAGCTGACTTCGACGGTGATGCGAAGGTGCTGGTCGGACTCGGTCTTGTCGCGAATGTCGTCAAAGAGGCGCGAGCAGGTGAGCGGGATGAGGCCCTTTGCCTCTGCATATCCGACCATGGAGTGCGACTTGCCGGAGCCGGTCTGGCCGTAGGCAAAGACGCAGGTGTTGAAACCGTTGAAGGCATGTTCGAGGAGCTCGACGCCGATGTACTGGAAGAGGGTGTCCTGCTCTGTGTTCTCGTCGTAGGCGCGGTCGAAGGAGAAGGGCATGGCCTTCTTCTTGGTGGCTTTGGCATTCTCTCTGCTGTCGCCCTCGGAGGGAGGTTGGAGAACGAGCTGGTTGCCGTCCTTGAATTCGATGAGGTTGGAAGCGCCACGATTCCGCTCTCTCGAGTTCATGGGTCGACATCGGACGACGACCTTGATGTTGCCGGAGTCCGCCATGGTGCGCTTCTAGGCCGGACGGACGGCGAGAGCGGCAGCAGCAACGGCGGCAGCGAGTGATCGGATGGTGGCGGGAGTGAGAGCGAGGGCGGATGGCGATCAGTCGGCCGGGAGGATGAAACTGAGTCCAGATGGACGACGATGGGCGTCGGCTGTGCCGGCGCAGCGGATCGCGGCTACCAAGGTGACTTCGGAAGTGATCCGATGCGTTGTGCAACGGCTGATCCGATCTGATCGATCTGTGTGCTGCAGTGGAAGCCAAGTTAGAGCCAGGTTGCATGCATAGGATCAGACGACGGCACGATGGAGATGCAGGCTGCTGAATGAGAAGCCGTTGGATGTCGGAGCGGGGACGAGAGGCCGTTGCGCGGAGATGAAGCGTGTGCGGGCGTTGCAGAAGTGCGGCGTCGGAAGCCAGGGTATCAAATGAGGGCAGTCCAAGCGATGCTTTTGGGTGGGTCCTCGACTGTGCAAATGCAAGTGCGAAGCGCCAAGCGACGGATAGAGAGGTGAGGTCGGCGTGGCGAGGATGGAGGCATCGAGTGTGAATGCGAACAGCATCGGCAGCTGATCTCTCAGGGTCCCCCGGATGTCGGGATGCTCACGGCCAGCTGAGACTGCTCTGCTGAGCTCTTCTCACCTTGGCAGTCGGATCAATCGACACGCACACACGCACGCACGCGCCCTTCCTGTCTTGGCCATGCATGCGACTGCCACTGCCACTGCTCAGCCGCTGTGTGTTGGGTTGAGAAAGTGTTGCTTTTTCGCGCCGCCCTGCCTCTTTCAGCCGAGCCCAACCCAAAATCAAGCCGAGCGCGGTTTGAAAACCCGCCTCTTTCTCAGCCTCTCTCCCACACACACGGCCCTCAACCGCAAAAGTAACACCACTTTCTCCCCTCGCTCTCGCCTTCCCCTGAGCCTTCTGGCTGGACGAAGCCATCACAGTCCCGATCAGTCAAGAGAGAACAACGTCATATAAGCTGTCCGAGATCGCAAGTACAAATACAAAAAAAAAAA